AACTGTGTGAGATGCAACTAAAACAGTGCCTAGAGAGAAATTTATAACTTAAAGTGTTCATATTAGAAAACAAAGGAGATTTAAAATCTAAGCCCAGATCCTGCAAATGCTGATGTCTAATAGAAGAATCCCCCTCCCCATCAAACTGAGATCCCAACAGTTGATACAGGTGAGCCAGAAATAAACCATCTCACTTCCTGGGAACTGTGAGGATATGTGCTCTGATGATGAGCAGAGCATGGCACTAAAGGAAAGAAAAGGAGAGAGAGAGAGAGAAAGCGGGAATGACCCTGTTAAGGTGTAACCATGAGCCAATTTTTATACAGATTTCGGGTAAAGTTTCATATCACTTGGATAAAAAAATCCAACAAAAACCCTCAAACCATGAATTTAAAATAATTTTTAACTGGTAGTACCCCAGGCACCTGGCAAAAGCAAACACAAATCTCCTTGGGAGGATAGCACTTTCATTCCGGTCTGAAATACCTACAGATAATTTTACCAGAACAATGAAGAAAATGGCAAAACAACCAAGCACACCAGAATGGATTGGAGAGAGAGGAGTGCGAAAGGATGAGGCAGACCAGTTAGGAAGTTTCAGTAAACGTGGTGAAAGTGATGGCAGACCGTTTGTGTGTGCTAAAGTGAGTTTCTTGTAGAAAACATATACAGGGATCTTTCTCTGTGTGTGTGTGTTGCATGCGTGCAGGCGGGAGTGGGACAGTGTTTATTTAACATGACAACCTCTGCCTTTGAATCGGTGTTATTAGATATTTACATCAAAAGTGATAATTAATATCCAGATTTGTCTATTGCTTTACTCTTCTCTATTGTCTCATCTATTTTTTTGTTCCCTTTTTCTTCTTTTTTCCCCTTCAATTGGACAACTTGAATAATTTTGGGATTATATCTTACTTCTTTTTGTGCTTATTAACCATGGTTCTTTGCTTTGTTATTTTAGTGGTTGTTTTAGAGTTTATGGTGTATATCATTAATTTATCATAGTCCATCTTCAAATGATATACCACTTCTCATATAGACTAAGAACCTTAAATAGTGTATTTCCAGTTCTCTTTCTTACTTTTGTGCTATGTTGCCTTGCATTTTACTTTTGCATCAGTCCCACATTACATTGCTACTATTTTTGCAGAAAAAGCAACCACCTTTCTTTGAGATTTAAATGTCATCTTAAAATTTTTATCTATATTCCCATATAGTCACAATTTCAGGTGCTCTTTATCCCTTTATGTAGTTTGGTATTTCAAACTGGTATTATTCCTTTATATTTCCTATAGTTCTAATGTGCTGACTAGGTATTAATTGCTTCTGCTCCAATAAAGAAAAAATATTTTACAATATCTCAGTTAAGGGCTTAGACAATTAAAAAAAAATAAGTTTATCCACTAACTAAATATTCAGTTGTACAGCTGATTTCTTTTTTTTGTGGTATCATTAATGTACAATTACTTGAACATTATGGTTACTAGACTCCCCCTATTATCAAGTCCCCACCACACACCCCATTACAGTCACTGTCCATCAGCGTAGTAAAATGCCACAGAATCCTTATTTGTCTTCTCTGTGTATATTGCCTTTCCCATGTCCTGCTCCCCGCTACATTATGTGTGCTAATCATAATGCCCCATTTTCCCCCTTATCCCTCCCTTCCCACCTATCTTCCCTAGTCCCTTCCCCTTTGGTAACTGTTAGTCCATTCTTGGGTTCTGTGAATCTGCTGCTGTTTTGTTCCTTCAGTTTTTTCTTTGTTCTTATACTTCACAGATGAGTGAAATCATTTGGTACTTATCTTTCTCCGTCTGGCTTATTTCACTGAGCATAATACCCTTTAGCTCCATCCATGTTGTTGCAAGTGGTAGGATTTGTTTTCTTCTTATGGCTGAATAATATTCCATTGTGTATATGTACCACATCTTCTTTACCCATTCATCTACTGATGGACACTTAGTTTGCTTCCATTTCTAGGCTATTGTAAATAGTGCTGCAATAAACATAGGGGTGCATCTGTCTTTTTCAAACTGTGCTGCTGCATTCTTAGGGTAAATTCCTAGGAGTGGAATTCCTGGGTCAAATGGCATTTCTATATTGAGCTTTTTGAGGAACCTCCATACTGCTTTCCAGAATGGTTGAACTAATTTACATTCCCACTAGCAGTGTAGGAGGGTTCTCCTTTGTCCACACCCTAGCCAACATTTGTTGTTGTTTGTCTTTTGGATGGTGGTGATGCTTACTGGTGTGAGGTGATATCTTATTGTGGTTTTAATTTGCATTTCTCTGATGATTAGCAATGTGGAGCATCTTTTCATGTGACTGTTGGCCATCTGAATTTCTTCTTCAAAGAAGTGTTTGTTCAGCTCCTCTACCCATTTTTTAATTGGCTTATTTGCTTTTTGTTTGTTGAGGTGCATGTGTACAGCTGATTTTTAAAAATAAAATGAAACATTAAAAATAAAATGATGCAAAGAACATCATTAAACTCCTACATGTGACTACATAAATTCCTTCATTTTTTGTATGTCTAAAATAGTTTATATTGCACCTTCATTCTTGAAAAACATTTTTGATGGGTATAGGATTCCAGGTCTTTCATTACTTTAAAGATTTTGTTCCACTGTGTTCTTGCTTGCATTGTTGCCAGTGGGAAATCTGTGATCTATATATTTGTTCCTTTATAAGTAATGTCTTCTGTTCTTGGCTACTTTTAAGAAGTTTCTCTTTTATCATTGATTTTGAGTAATTTGATTATGCTGTGTATTGGTATAGCTTCATTCCTGTTTCTTATATTTATGGTCATTGAGATTTATGGATTAGTAGGTTTATAATTGCCACCAAATCTAAAAAACTTTCATCCATTATTTCTTCAAATATTCTGTTTGTCCCTTCTCCCGGTCCTTCCTCTCCTTAAGGGACTGTAAGTACATATATATGAGGATACTTACAGCTGTTCCACAGCTCACTGGTGCCCTGTAAATTTTTTATTTTACTTTTTGCTCTGTGTATTTCCTTTTATACAGTTTTTGTTGCTACACCTTGTAGTTCATTAGTTTGTTGCCATTGCAATGTCTGATCTGTCATTAATCCTACCCAGGGTATTTTCTAGCACATATGTCACAGTTTCCATCTCTAGAAGTTTAATTTGTGTCTTTTAAAATTTTTTTCGGTCTCTGTTTAACCTTTTGAACATATGGAATGCAATTATTAATACTTTCCAAATGTCTATATCTGCTAATTCTAAATCTCTGTCAGTCAGTTCTGGGTGAATTTCTATTGATTTTTCTATTATTCATTATGGGTCATGCTTTCCTGCTTCTTTGCATTGCATACTTGGTTATTTTTTCTATTAAATTTTTATCAAGGTATATTTCATATGCCATAAAATCCATCTTTTTAAAGTTTACAACTGAGCTGTTATAATGTTTTCACAAAGTTGTACAATTATTACCATTATTAAATTCCAGAATATTTTCATTTCTTCACAATGAAGCCTCATAGCCTTGAGCAGCAACTCCCTATTCCTTTAGCCCCTGGTAACTACTAATCTAGAGATTTCAGTACAATGTTGAACAGAAACAGTAAGAGCACATACATCCTTATCTTCCTCCTGATCTTAGGAGGAGATGTTTTCAAGTATGATGTTGTCTCTGTGTTTTTCATCCTTTATCAGGTTGAGGGAGTGTCCTTGTATTCCCACTTTGCTAAGTGTTTTTACAATGAAAGGATGTTGGATTTTGTCAAATGCTTTTACTTTGTTTATTGAGATGATCATTTGGTTTGGTTATTTGTTCTATTAATACAGTGTATTGCATTGATTTATTTACAAATGTTGAGCCTATATTGCATTCCTGAGCTGAGATATGTTCTACTTGGTCATGGGATATAAGCCTTTTTATATGTTGCTGGATTTAGTTTGATAGTATTTTGTTGAAGATTTTGGTACCCATATTAAAAAGGGTTATTGGTCTCTAGTTCTCTTTACTTGCAATATTTTTGTTTAGTTTTGGTATCAGAATCATATTGGCTTCATACAATGGGTTACAAAATATTCCCTCCTTTTCTATTTTTTGCAAGAGTTTGTGCAAAATTAGTGTGATTCCTTTAAACATCTTACAGAATTCACCAGTGAAAATACCTGTTTCTGGGATTTTGTTTGTGTAAAGTTTTTTATTCCTAATTCAATCTTTTTACTTGTCATAGCTTCATATTTTTTATTTCTACTTGAGAAATGTCAGTAATCTGTGTCATTTTATGTATTTGTCTATTTCATCTAGGTTATCTAATATTTTGGTATACAATTATTCAAAATATTCTTTTATAATTCTTTTATTTCTGTAAGGCAACACCTCCTTTCATTCCTGATTTTAGTAATTTGTGTCTTCTCTCTTTTTCCTGAGTTAGTCTAGATAAATGCTTGCCAATCATGTTGATCTTTTCAAAGAACTAAGTTTTGTTTTCATTGATTTTTCTCAAATGTTTTTCTACTACTTGTGTTTATCTCTCCTCTAATCTTTATTATTTACTCCTTTCTGATTAGTTTGGTTTTGATTTGCTCTTTCTTTCTATTTTCTTTATAGTTTCTTAAGGTAGAAGGTTAAGTTATTGATTTGAGATCTTTCTTCTTTATTAATATAGGCATTTACAGCTATAAATCTCCTTCTAAGTATGCTTTCACTGCATCCATAAGTTTTGGTATGTTGTGCTTGCATTTTCATTCATCTCATAGTGTTTTCTAATTTCCTTTGTGATTTCCTCTTTAACTCATTGATTATTTAGGAGTACATTGTTCAATATACACTTTCTTTTCTCCCTCTGGAAGTCACATTATGTGTATGATGACATTTGATACTGTCCCACACATCTCTGAGATTCTTTTAATTTTTTTCATTCTCTCTTCTTTCTGTTTCTCACACTGGATAATTTCAGTTGACCTCTCTTTGAGGTCATTAATTCTTTCTTCTTCTTGCTCAAATTTGCCTTTGAACTCCTCCAGTGGAATGATCATTTATTACAATTTAAACTCCAAAATTCTTATTTGAGATGATTATATTAACACATGGAGAGTGTCAGCACAGGGCCTGGAATAAAGCACATATTTAGGTGTGTTATTACCAACTGTTACTGGAGCCAGTCAAGGACAATGGTTCTCTTTAAATCCCAGCTCACCTTGCAGCAGACTTCAGTGAAATAGTCATCTATGTCATGGGAGATATAGGTACAGACTGTTTGCAAAGGATGCTAAGACTTCCTTTGGAGAAGTCCTTTGTCATGCCCATCATTCTGAATAGCTCAGATCAGTCTCCTCTCAGGAATTTTTTTTAATACCTATAATTCTGTGTCCTCTCTTCCTACCTCTGAGTGGTGCTTCCTCTCTCTCTCCTTTGGTCATCTGAGAAGCTTGTCCTCAAGATCACTTTAGTAGTGTGCTGTTATCAAATCTCCTCTAAGGTCTCCTTCATAGAGGCCCAGCTTTCTCTTCCATTTTCATTTCCTCCCAGTTCAAATCATCAATGTATCTATCCTACAGGAGGTAGAGAGACAGCTCTGTGGGAAGCCAGTAGCCATCATGGATTCTGGTATTTTTCTGAGACCATTTGCCACATTAATATGCCTGCCACCTCCAACATGTACATACACACATACACACATGCACACACATCACAGATACACCTCATTACTCCTATCACACAACACAAACCATGTACCACACAACACACAGCACACATCACCATACAACTCACAACACATACTACACACACACATGCATGCATACCAGACACATCACGTATGCATAAGCATACATCACATACTACATATAGCATGTACCATCACACTCCTTACATAAGAACCACAGCATACTACACATTACATACATGTTCATGCACACACCTCTTATGATGTATGTTTAGTGCAGCTCAGAAAGTTACTCTCTCATTTAACATATGTCATTATGTCTGGAGCTATACTGGACACCTGAGATTCATTAGTAAGAAATGCTGACAAAAATGCCTAGCCTTATGGAACTTGCATTTTCATGCAGGAGGAAGACAATAAGCAATATACATAAATAAAATATTCAGTGGTAAGTGTCACGGAACAAAATAGAGCACTGTTAGAAGGCCCAGGAGTGAGGGAGGGGTACAACCATAAACAGATGATCAGAGTGAGCTTGGCTACTAAGGGATACCTGAAAGAGTTGAGGGACAGCATACTATGGAGTGATTGTTCCCCACAGAGGGAATACTCAGCATGCAGGCCTTTTGAAGGAGACTCCAGTGACACCATCACCATTCTGAGTCTCTGGTTTCCTGTATCCCAAATTCATAGTGCCAAGCCCAGCCTCACTTATCAGAGGTGATTCATTCCCCCATCAGGCAGCTCCTACTGGTCTTTCCCTAGGCCTTCCTTTAGAGAACATACCTCAGAGGGTCATCTGCATTCCCTATCCCCTGCTAAGACTTGCAGCTCTCTGCATGAACCAGTCCCTCCATACAACAGGAAACAGGTGCAAGGTAGGGCAGCTGTCACAGACAGACCCCGTCATGATTTTATGCTTTTATCTTGTGTAGTTGTTTGTTGGTAGTGGCAGTGTCTTGCCAGTGGGTTTCAGCCCTGGGCAAGTTTGCTATGGATTCAATGTGACCAAAGAAATGACAGTAGAATGTTCTTGGGGTGAAATGGTTTATACCCAACTTTATTCCCACAGTTGTAGGTCAATCACTAAAATCCCGTTCACTCAGAGCGAGTCTGCATGCAGCAAGCTGGTCTCTATCCCTGGGCCTCTCTACCCACACAGCCATCCTCTGGGCCTCTGTTCTCAGCACTGCCACCACTCCAGGCTCTGCTCTGCTCTCCTGCAGCCTTGTAGCTGTGCCACCGTGTCATCCAGAGCACTGAACAGAGCTCTTTCTATAGAGTTTATAACAATGTATTGCCCACACATGCATAGTAAGCTAGTCAACCAGAGCCAGGTGAGAATCCTGGCCACAGGAACCTTCATTTTATCCACAGGCAGTTTGTTTTCTTTTTGGCATTCACTAACTGCCTTTCCCTGACCTTTTGGCAGGGCAAATTTGGGATGAGCTATGTCCAGATCCAGAGTCACACCTAGAACAACATAAGTCTGGGGATCTGCAAGGAGTTATTATTAGATCAGAGATTCAGGGTCTCATTCTGTCTCCTCCATCTGTGTGCTGGTTGCTTCAGGAGTGATACGTTCTTTACTATATGTGGGGCCAGAGGACATGCCAGCAGGGTCCAATGAGTCACGGGGTGGCAAAACGGTAGAAGCCCTTGTGATGAGCCAGGAGGGTGCCATGCTAAAGAGAGTCTCCTGGTTGGGATGGGGAGAGAGGAAACTGTTTCACAATTTTGCCTCCAGCTGGAGCTCCTGGAGCTCCTGGAGCTGCTGGAGCTGCGGGAGATGCTTGACCGGTAGGACTGCAGCTGGGCCAGACTTTCCTAGCTCCTTTTGTGTTGCCCTGAGCATAGACCTTCTGCTTTGTCCTGAGCACAGCTATCAGGATCAACACCTGACCAGCCAGGCCAGGAGCCCAGCATTGGTCTCAGGCATCTCTCAGAATCCAAGTTTAAATTCTCCTGCCTGTGTCCTCAGCCTCTCTTACCAGCTCCCTTGAACCACAGCAAATTTTTATCTCTTAAGCAAACATCTGTTGTGCATTTATCATAAATACCACCTGAGACTATAAATGTGGCAAGGTTTTATTCTGAGGTGGTAATATGGATTTTCCCCCATTAAATGATAACTCTAACTGTCTGGGGACAGTCCTTTTGCTGTTATTTTTAACTGGAGGACTGGAGCTGAGTCACTAAGAGCATGCCTCTGATCCCACTGCCTTTTCTCCACAGAGTGCATGGCGGAGGTGCACCCCAGGTCTCGGGCTCCCAGCTGAACCCACTCACTTCCGGGCCCTGAGTGGCTCCTGTTTGCTGTCCTGGGCAGCTGACTCTGACTATTGATAAGAATTTGAATCCTGAGGGACACTGAGATGGAAAATGAGACACAGCCATAGGACAAAGAAGAAAGGAGGCTGGCTTGGGCAAATTTTGTGATAGTGATGAATGCTGTTACTGTTACCATGCCCTTCATAGCAGTTCTAAAACAATAAGGGACCTAAAAATAGCAAAAACCACACAGATCAGGAGGTTTATGGATTGCATGGGGGTTGGAGGCTGTCTTGCCAATGGCTTTCAGCCCCGGGAAAGTTCTATAGATTCAATATGACCAAAGAAATTGACAGCAAAATGTTCTTGGGATGAAAGAGTTATACCCAACTTTATTTCCAGGTGGCAGGTCAGTCACTAGAATCCAATTCACTCAGGAAGCTGGTCTCTGCCTCTGGGCCCCTGTCTGCACAGCCATTCTGCACAGCCGTCCTCTGGGTTTCTGTCCTCAGCGCTGCAACCACTCCAGCCTCTGCTCTGCTCTCCTGCAGCCTTGCAGCCCTGCCACCGTGTCATGCCCAGAGCACTGGGCAGAGCTCTTTATATAGAGTCAACAGCCATGTATTGCCCACAGGCATGCAGTGAGCTAGTCAACCAGAGCAAGGTGAGAATCCTGGCCACAGGAACTCTCATTTTATCCACAGAGGCAAAAGTGGAACAATCTCAAGTCAGACTCTGTGAACTGACCCTTTTCAGCCTTCCTGATTTTAGATACTCTGTGCTGAGGTCACAAAATAGTTTACTGGATTAATAACGTGTCCCTTCTTTTCATTGCTTTGAAAGAAGGGTATTTTTCTTACCATCTCCCCTCCATTTTAGAACAAGCTGAGCACAAAAGATAAGGGCAATTTCACCTATCTCCTCCCCAAGACTTACAGGGCCTGCCTCCCAATGTAGTTTCACTTCTGAGTTTAGACTGTTCAGAGTTAACTTCCTTGCTCTGGACTCAGGAAGTGGCATATGGGAGGGGACTAGCAGCAGATCTGTGACTGTCAGCTGTGTGGTGAAGGTAGAAGCAACAGTCCTTCCAGGTTTATTCGGTGGAGGGATGTGATATATGTGAGTGTGGTTTGGGGAGGTAGTGGGAGGCAGGCTATGTTTCTTGATAACAGAGACACTCAAATTCTGGGAATGGTCAGAACTTTGTTTTATAGTTCTCACTCGCTGTCTGCTTTCTTTTTCACCAGACTCCATGCCATAGCTCAGAAGATACAGGATGTGAGGTGAGTGAAGGCCCAGGACAGGCACTCTTGTGCCTCAGAGGAGGGGAGATCCTTCTCCCAGGAGCACAGCACCCCTGGAAGAGAGGAGTTTATTGTATCCCTTGGGGAAATAACTTGCCAAGGAATGGAAGTCTCCAGAAGAAATTCTCTATGGTGCCAAAAGACTGGCCCTGGCTATTTAGAGGGAAATAGCTTATCTAGTAACTTTAGTTGAATCCTGCTTTTAATTCAGGTACTGTCAGTTTAAAGATAAGGTCAATCTCCAAACTTCCTCCTGCCTCTGCTCCCCACCCCAACAAACTGCCAGAAGGGAGAGCAGGGCCAGGGCCAGGGCCCTGCAGCCGCTGCCACGGTGTACTCCTGCTGACTCCTCCACACTCTCTGGTTGTCAGGTCCTTCCTGGGGGGCTCTGGGAGTCCAGTACCCAGGATCCCACATAGACCTGGCATTCCTCATCTGCTTCTCACCTCCCCCACTCCTGGGTTCTGAAAGTTCTCTGTCTTCCCATCACCCTGAGAGACAAGTCCTGGTTTGAAGCAGAGATAGTCCCCTTTCTAGTTCTAGAAGCTCTGTTCCCCAGGACCAATCCTTCTTTTCTCAGCTCTCTTTCCAATTCTCTTTCCCTGAGGTCTGGGAGGACAACAAAAGGGCAAACTTGTTCTTCTGGTTCTCTTACTTACTTTCATTATCATCCTGATTGGATCTCCACTGAGATTTTATTAACCTGGAGTCTTGTTCTTTGTGGGTGGGAGTCAGGGTAGAGAGAGCCGTGGCTGGGTTTGAGTAGAGTCAAATTTGTCTCAATAAAATCCTTCATAAACTACCCAATTACCTAAGCATTACCACCAGCTTCAAAGAAATAATTCTGGTACTAATTATTCTTGATTTTCATTAGAGTGGGGAAAAACACTCCCCTGTGAGTTTGCTCTCTTGCTGCTTGTGAGGAAGCAGGCCTCACGTCTCTCTCTCTCTCTCTGCACTTGGTCCAGAAAACTTCCTGCAATGATGGAATGTTCTGTGTCTGGGCCATTATGTAGCCACTGGCCACCTGTGGCTATTAAGCAATTAAAATGTGACTTGTGGGCCTAAGAAACTAAATTTTAAATTCAATTGAATTTTAATTAATTTTTATTGAGGTACATATAATCAAAGCCACAGAATTTTAGTGTGCAGCTCAATACATTCTGACATGTGTATACACTTACATGATCATCACCTAGATCATATCAAATGTTGCTAATTTTAATTAAATTTGAGTGGCCACATGTGATAGTTACTACCATATTCCACAACATGGCTCTTTTATGAATCTTCTGAATTCCAATCTATTTCTTCTCTCTAGAGAAAAGACTTCAAGACTTGTAGAGGCCAGTGGAAGCCAGTGTATCAGACAGAAGGTCTGGTGACCTGTGTTTCCATCACTGGGGAAAAGTTCTGGTTGCTTCATCTCTGCCTCTAGATCCCAAATTGGTGCTTTTCAGGAAAAGCCATGGCCTCAGCCAGAGTCACCAAGAAGATGAGAGAGGAAGCCACTTGCTCTATTTGCCTGCAGCTGATGGCTGAGCCAGTGAGCATTAGCTGTGGACACAGCTACTGCCGCTTGTGCACCACAAATTACCTTGAGAACCTACGCTACAATCAACCATGGCAGGAGACGTTCTTCTGTCCTCAGTGTAGGGCTCCATTTCAGATGGCTAGTCTACGGCCCAACAAGCAGCTGGGAAGTCTCATTGAAGTCATCAAGGATATAGGTCACCAAATGTCATGTGAGGAGCATGGAGAGCAGCTCCACCTGTTCTGTGAAGATGAGGGCCAGCTCATTTGCTGGCGCTGTGAGCGGGCACCGCAGCACAGAGGGCATACCACGGTGCTTGTCGAAGACGTGTGGCAAGGCTACAAGGTGAGTATGTGGGCCAGAGGGCCTTAGCAAGTTCCCAGTCTCATGCTACTCCCTGAGTCTTGAGATTATTTAGCCTGTGTCTTGCCAGTGGATTTCAGCCCCAGGCAAGTTCGCTATGGATTCAGTGTAACCAAAGGAATTGACAGCAAAACGTTCTTGGGGTGAAAGGGTTTATTACCTGGCTTGTTCTCCAGCAGTAGGTCAAGCACTAGCGTCTCTACCTCCACCCAGAGCACTGGGCCGAGCTCTCTATATAGCGCAATAATAGCTTATTGCCCACAGGTGTGGAAGCAGCAGCTCAGCAACAGGCCAGTTACATCATCAGGTGGTTTAAGTTCAGTGAGGATCCTGGCCATAGGAACCCCAACTTCCCCACAGCCTGAAACCCAAAATAATGGTCCTGTGTAAAGAAAATGGATGTTCCTGTGGCCAGTATCCTCAGCTGACACTGATACATTTGCTCACTGCGCATATGCAGTGCTTGCAGGCGCAGGCTTGCCCATGTGTTGGTAGTTAGATATTACTGACTATATAAAGTGCTCTGCTGGGCGCTCTGAGGCTGCTGGGAAGTGGAGAGGCCTGGAGACAGAGATTGGCTTGTTGCATGCAGACTGCCCTGGAGGTGGGTGGGATTCTAGCGCTCAACCTGCAACCCAAGAATTAAGTTGTATGTAAACCCTTTCACCCCAAGAATGTTCCATTGTCATTTATCCCGTCTCACTGAATCCAGAGTAAACTTGCCCAGGGCTGAAACTCTCTGGCAAAACATCCTGAAATACAGTTTTCATAATGCCATTCTTCTGAAAATAAGTTTATGATGCATCCTCACTGCACCAAGCCCTGAGTGTCCATCCTGATCTTCAGTGGGATAATTGGACTGTCGCCCCCATCCACTCTTGCTATGATGAACTTCTCCCTGCTTTCCAATGCCATGTGCTGCTCATTTTATGGCTTCACACTGTGGATGTAATTTGAGAAGCCACAATGTGCAAGACTATGTGACAAAGTCTGAAAACACAGGGGACAAAAACACATCATGTCTTAGATATCCTGCAGTCTAGTAGGTAAGACGAAGACAAGCCAACAGAAAAGAAGGCCTAGAGCTGCCTGATTTGGGCAGTGGGGAGGTGCACTAAGGGGTGGGGAGTGGTTCCCGAGGAACTTCCCCAGAAATAACCATTATATAGAGTATGGAGAAAACAAGGCCCAGACAGAGAGGACCACATGTGCAAACGCACAGCCATGGGAGTTTCCCTGACCTGCTGTAACCAGGCCAGGGGTGTGTATAGGGAAAAGCTGGTGATGGCATAGGAAAGGAAGGGCCCGAGCCCAGAACCTGGCTATTAACTCAGGTTCTTAATCCCAGCCCAGAGTACCACTGGCCACCTTGAAGGGGTGGGAGGGGGAGGGGAGAGGCAGAGAGTTCATCTGCAGAGTGAAGATTCAGGCTGACATTGAAAAGAGCATTTTGGCACTGATAAGAGGAACATCAAGGAGTAAAATTCAGACTATTCCTATAACAAAGGAGAAGGGGGCAGTTTCAAGCAGGATTCAGGAAGGGGAGCTGAAGGATTTGGAAATGATTGTCAGAGAGGATGAAGTGGAGGGAGAGGTTTCAGGGAACTCCTAAGTTTCTAACTGAAAAGCATTAAGGGAATGCTGCCCTGTGCTGTGGTGGGATGAAGGAGTGGGCACAGTTCTGCTGCCTGATTCCTTCTCTGCCCTGCCTAGATTTGAGAAAAATGTTTGTCTCCACTGTGGGGCTCCTTGTTCCCTCCTGCCTTGAGGTGGAGGTGGTCTTGTATTAAGGTTCTGGGTCCTCTGTCTAGCAAGGGCAAAACAGTCTTTTGCTAAGAAGTTCCATAGAACCCTTTCCTGAGAGCACTCAAGAATTAAAAAGTGTACTTTCTGGATTTGTAGGAAACAGGAACCAATTATTTTCGTATTGACCGCAACTAGCATGTGGGTCAGCTTATGCTTGTTTCCATGAACGTGTGAGAAACTATTTTGAAAACTAACTTAAAAGCTTGATATGGATACTAAACCATTTTAAATTGGTTTCAGGTTACCATTCTTCAAAAGATATCCAAGCTCTGTCCTCACTGTTTCTAATAACTTCAGCTGGCATCTGATCTTTCCTTCCTGACTCACATAATATATACAAAGTTTCATGTGTGTGTGCCAAACACTCTGGCACTGGTTATGTGTAGTTCAGCAAGTTATTTTATAAAAATATCCTTTGTGCAATATTTGCCCAGTAAAATGGTTGTGGTGGGTATAAGTCAGGCTTGGCACTGGCAGATTAGGTTGGAATCACAGCTCAGTCACCGACCAGCTATAGTGCCTTGGCAAGTTATTTAACTCCTTCCTAAATCTCAGTTTCTACAAGCACAGAAATTATATTAAAAATCCTACCAACTGCTCAGGGTTACTAAGGGTGTCAAATATGTTACTGCACACACAGCCCTCAGTGTATTTCTTGGCAAAGCAAAGGTATTCCATAAATATTCAGGGTTATTCTAATAGTCTTGATGGCCTGAGATTCCTCTTAAGTGCCTGATGAAGAGTTGTTGAATTGAATAAACTCTATTCACCCATTTTTTCCTTCAGGAGAAGCTCCAGAAAGCTGTGACAAAACTGAGGCAACTGGAAGAGGAATGTGTGAATCTGAAGGCATTCACAACACAACAAATAACTGAATGGAATGTAAGAATTTCAGTTTATTTTTCTCAAGTTATTTTCCATCCTAGATCTTGTGCATAGGGGATGACTGGGCAAAGCACAATGATAGTTTAGTCTCACTAAACCAGACCAGATAGAAGAAACCCAGAGAAGAAACCATTATTTGTTTTTATGCCCCTAATCATCTACATCTATGAGAATTTATCTCCACCTCCTTCAACCTTTCAATAGTAATTGGCTAGGAATCCCAATAACTCAGTCAGGAGAGGCAAATTTGGTATGCCTGTTTACCTAGAGGCATCTCTTTGACTGTGTTTCAAATTTTAAATACCTCAAAGTACCTTCCTGGTTTTAAGGCTTACCCAAGTTACCTTGGCACACTTACCACAGTACAGGGTATGGCTCTCAGCCTTGCAAGTTCAGAAAACAACTTTTTTGAGCACTAAGAATCACTCCAGATTGATATTCATATTACTTAAGCTAATGAGGCTGATAAAGGAAATCAACTTGATTTATAAGGAGGATCATAACTGTTGCAAGAACACTTGCAATTGCAGACTATGGGGTCTCTAAGGCGATTTCCTCGGCTGACTGGGTCCCCATGATCAGAAAGGCATCATTTATAGAAACGTTTATGTAATCCATCAGCTGGCAGTCAAATCACCTGGGCCAGTGAGCCATTTTGCCTCTTTCATGGTTCTCTTCCAACCTCTGCCCTGATCCTTTGCATGCAGATATTAAACTTGAACTCTCAGGGGACATTCTTACTTCCCTCATTTCCGCAGTCTTGGATTGAGGGAGGATCTTGATTATAACTAAATACACCAGTGACTTTCTACCACAGCATCACAGGCATTGAAACACTGCATGCATTGAGAAAGCACTGATGGAAATTGCAATTCTATATCTTCCTAATTGAAACCTGTGTTCCACAAGATAGTATCATTTGGTTTCTATCACTTACACATAAAGATGATTAAGTGGACCCTGGGTTGGTGGGGTGAACATTTCTCAGTAAACTGTTATAAAAGCCTTCTACCCAGACCTCCTGCTGAGAATCATGGACTCTCCTACTGGCCTGGTTGTCTCAAAGTCCAGTCCTGGTGATGTTCATTATAAGCTTTTACTTCAAGAAATCTCTTCAGCCTGAGAGATACCTTCTTACATCCCAAATAAAAACTTGTTTTTATCTGTATACCTGATGTGTTTGACCTTGGCCTTAGTTCCATGATTGAATTATCTAGCACCTCTGCCCCTTCTTTCTCCTGACTCTTGGTTGAAGAAGAAGAAAATCAATCAGGTGACTATAGAGAATTGTGACAACCTCTCCCACATCTGAGTGCCTGCCTCCCAGGCATGATTCTGTAGCAAGGAATCTGGGATATTTCTTCCAGCTCAAATGACTGAGGGAAAAATATGTCATTGTAGCTGAGCAAACTTTCTTTTGGGTATGTGTGTGTTATAATACACATAACATAAAATTTACCATTTTAACTATGAAGGTCAGTGGCATTAAATACTTTCACAATTTTGTGCAGCCATCACCACCATCCATCTCCAGAACTTTTTCATAATCCCATACTGAAACTCTTTGCCCATTAAACAATAATTTCCTATTCCTTTCTCCTCCCTGTATGTCTGGGGAAAAGAAATCCTGGGGCAAAGTGCCTCTAAAAAATGAAATCAGTCAAAGGGAGAAATAAAGTTTAAAATCTGTTTATTGCCTACAAACTGCAGTCCAGGGCCTTCTCTTTTTCCTGCTCCAGCAGAAGCAAAAGCGGCCCTCCCCTCCCCTCTTGGGTACAGATAAGCCTTCCTTGCCCAGGTAATTACCCATTGACATGGAGATGAACTTCTCTCCACCCCTGAGGAATGATGCAAATGCACTAAAGCCATACTTCTTTCCACCTCTGAATGCCTATTGATATGCAGATGTACTAAAGCCAGGTGAGGTATTCTGGAAATGTTACAATTTTACCCACACTCCCAAAGCCTGGTAACCACTATGCTGCTTTCTGTCTCTATGAATTTGACTACTTTAGGTACCTCATGTAAGTGGAATCATGCAATATTTGTCCTTTTGTTTTTGGTATATGTCACTTAGCATAATGTCTTCAAGATTCATCCATGTTGTAGCATCTGTCAGAGTTTCATTCCTTTTTATGGCTGAATGGTACTCCCTTACATCTATATACCACATCCTATTTATTGATGGACATTTGGTTTGTTTTTGAGAATACTTTCTTGCCTCTAGGAGAAGATTGAGACTCAGAGACAAAAAATCCAGTCTGACTTTAAGAATATCCAGAACTTCCTACATGAAGAGGAGAAGTATTACCTATGGAGACTGGAGGAAGAAAAAGAACAGACTCTGATGCGACTGAGGAACAATGAGGCCACTTTGGGACAGAAGAGCCATGAAATCCAGAGCCACATCCTGGAATTAGAAGAGAAATGTCAGGGCTCAGCTCAGAAATTGCTGCAGGTGAGGCTGTGCATGAGGAGGAAGGGAAAACACTCATGAGCTATTAAGAGGAGAATGGTGAGAAAGGTTGGGAAGATGGGCAAGGCCTGCTGCCTCACTCAAAAGTGGCACATTCATGTGGGGAATCTAAACTATTGTTTCTTTTAGATACACATCAGTATGTGCAGGGTGCTCTCCACTAGTCTATAGGGTGCCTTTATGTGAATCAGAAAAGTACACCTGCTCCACAGAGATACGGTGGGTTCCTTGGCCAAATGGAACCATGGGATAACTTTCACTACCGTTTGCCTCTGTTCATATGCACAGTACCTGGGCTGTCAAACTATCTCCTGAAATACTCCTCCAGAAGACTGGTGGGGGATTGTAAGTCCAGGGAGAGGAAATCCCGGGGCAAAATACCTCTAAAAACTGAAATCAGACAAAGGGAGAAATAAAGTTTAAAATCCATTTATTGCTTACAAACTGCAGTCCAGGGCTGTTTCTCTCTCCTGCTCTGGCAGAAGCAAACAAAAAAGGACCTTCCTCTCACCCATAAGGTACAGATAAGCCCTCCCTTGCCCAGATAACTACCCATTGATATGGAAATGAACTCTCCACCCCTGAGGAATGATGCAAAAGCACTAAAGCCATACTTCTTCCATCTCTGAACGCCTATTGATATGCAGATGTACTAAACCCAGGCAAGATATTCTGGGAATATTACAATTTTACCCACAGGGGTATAGTGGGGAAGCTAGAAGGAGTAATAACTTTTTCCCTGGTTTGCTTGTAAGGACCCTGCAGAGCTCTTAGGCCTTTCAGCCACCTGAAGGAGCTAGCCCATTAAGATAAACTGCTCCTGGAGCTGTTTTTTCTGGTTCCCTCTAGCAGAAATGGAGGTTGCACTGTAAGGTTGAGAATGTAGCATGACTGCTCCACCCCCATGCAACATTGGCTGCCACCAGCTTAGTGGCCAGGCTCCCTGGGGCTAGGTGTTTGGATTCACCACTAAGGACCTTGGTGATCTCTAAGATGAGCTCACTTTGAGGGACATTAGGTCACTGAAAGCAAGTGTTGCCAGAGAGAGCATGGACAAGCTCTTGGCGAATCCCCGAAGCAGCCCACAAGCTGATTTGAGTGCAGATACTGCAGCTCCCCAAGATCCCAGCAAGAAAGATAACAGGCTTGGAGATTGATAAACTTCCTGAAATGCTGAAAATTCCAGGGAAAGCCAGCATGGGAATCATTCTGTCTGAGTATCCATTGATATCTACGGATGGGGTCCTATTCATTTCATTTCTTTGGAGGAAGTGTTTATAAAGAATAGACCCACGTGCTAAGCCCCATAAAAAACTAATGTTCCCACTCTCACCTTTTGTCTTTGTTCCTATACAGGATGTGAAAAACACTTTGAGCAGGTGAGTCCTGTATGAATGCAGGAGGGAAGGGGTATGACTATATAGAGCTGAATGAATGGATCACTGAAGTATCTGGTCTCTGCTTGTTCTAGGAGTTGGGCTGTAAAACTGGAAACACCAGAGGCCCTCTCTTTGGAGATTCACACTGTGTGCAATGTTTCTGAGCTTTATTTTGATGTGAAGAAAATGTTAAGGAGCTACCAAGGTATGTGAAGAATCCCTAAATGCTGCGAATGGAAGGCACCTCAAGTGGTAACCAAGTGCACCACCTGTCCCTGGGCAGGCTCAAGCCAGAGAGGTTGTTTAGGTCTTTCAATGGAGCTGTCATTCTCCTTTGTTAGTATGCTCCAGTGCTTAGACAAGAACATTGCCTAGTGGTTATCTGTGCAGACCCTTCAAATTCCTGCTCTCCTATTTATTAGCTGTGTCATCCCAAGCAAATAACCTCCTCAGCTTCCCTGGTTAAAAAATGAATGTACAGTTTCTACTTCATTGGGTTGTCATGGAAAAGAAATATGTCAACATGTGTAAAGCTCTTATCACAGTATCTGGGACATAATGCTTATTGGTAATATTTCAGTCTACTCTTAGAGCAATGCAAGAAAAGTAGGTGAGTATTATGGACTGTAGTTTAACTTCTTTTTGGGCCTTGGCCCGTAACACAGATAGTAAATGTTAAACCATAATGATAACCAAATTTTACCAGTTCTAAAACCTGAGCTTCCTGCTCCCTTGACTGCCTTAATCAGTGCTTGCTATATTTCCATAATCTCTTATCCACAATTGCAAAATTCAAAAAGCTCTAAAAACTGGAAGTATGTTTAACGTGTTTGCTGCAAAATTAGACCTAACCTACATGATTTGGTGGCTGCCTTAATTACCCAGTGCTGTAAACAAAGTTAGCAGCTTTAAAGAACACATGCATAATATCCCCATAAGTTTGGTGAGTCAGAAATCTTGGTACAGCTTAGTTGGGTCTTTTTCTTAGGGTCTTACAAGGCTGCAATTAAGGTGTTGACCATGCTGTGTTTTCAGATGGAGGCTAGACTGAGGAAGAACCTTTTCCAAGCTCATTCATGCTGTTGGCAGAATCATTTCTTTATGGTTATGAAACAGGGCCATGGGTTTTTGCTGGTTGTTGGCTGGATGTTGTCCTTACCTTCTAGAAGCTACCTATTAGCTCCTTGCACATGGGCTTCCCAACAAAGCCAATTATATCTTCAAAGTGAGCTCAGGAGGGACTCTTTAGAGCAAATCTGCTGGCAAGATGGAGTCCTATATAATGAAATGTAACCATAGGAGTCATATCCCATCATTTTTGCCATATTCTGCTGGTCAGAGGCCAATAAAGTCGCAGTACATATTCCATCTATACCTGAGAAAACCTGTTTATTAATTGTTGGGCTCTCTATATATCTGTTAGATTGGGCTTGTTGGGTTGTTCAAATCTTCCATATCCTTAATTTTTATTTTGTCTGCCTGGTCTATCAGTTATGGAGAAGAGAATGTTAAAATGTCTCATGATAATTGTAGAGTTGTTAATTTATCCTTGCAATTCTCTTATTTTTGCTTTGTATATTTTAAAGGTATATTATTAGTGCATGTATGTTTAGAGCTGTGATATCTTCCTAGTGGAGTGTACATTTTTATTTATTAATAATAATACTTAATAATATATTGACAATATATTTGAGGGCAATGGTCCTTATATTACAAATCTTTGCAAAACCAGAAATACAATCAGAAGCAGATCAAGGCCCACCTATAGCTGTTAACTAGATCATCCTCAACTCCTAAGACAGGAAAAAAAGAAAAGAGGCCTTTAAAAATACAAACAGCTATAGAAGCACCATAGCTCAAAATCAAGCCTACAGCTTCCATAAAGGTGCATGCCAGGGACAAACACAAATCTTAAGTATCTTCTCCATGAGTATCAATAACTGTAATGTCTCTGTCTGGGTCTGATCAAATATGTCCATATATGTGTGATATTTTTCTACCTCTGGATGGTATTGCTATAATTAATTTTGAAGAGCTCTGTTTAACTGGTTTGAAATATGTGCTGATAAGTTAAACATTTCTAAATCTCAGAAATATATAGATACCAACCCAAATGTTTCTCAAGTTCATGTGATCTATGATCATTTTCAGTAAATAAAAGCTAGCTTAAGTTTGTTGCTTTAATAAAATGGACATGTCTTTAGAATTATCACCATTAAGTACACTTTTATTCTACCTAGGTTTATTAAGTATAAGCTCATGTTATCTCTGCTACAAAATTGTCAACAAAAACTTGGTATGCTACAACCTTTACTTAAAAGTAGCTTCCAAAATCTTTTTGGTAACCTGAAACCTTAAGGTCTTGCTAAGTTAAACTAAATGGTGTGGGAATTGATTGAATATCCAGATCATTTCCAGTAAGATGAAATTCTGAAACCTTAATTGCTAAACAAGTTTAAGCTTATCTACATTTATCTCCTTACTATAGAGAAACTAATGATATATTCTGGGTCAGTTGGTAAATTTGTTTGAGCTTTATTGAAAAATTGTACTGTGAAGAAATGCATGTTTTAGGAATTATGAAATGCATTAATATATTTGCCAATCTAAAGAATGGTGGGATAATAAACAATTCATAATTTCTTGCTGCTTAGCTTTCACCAGAAATTAAGGTCTCTAGAAGCTAAGGATTCAGTAAGTGTGATTAAAGCCACTAGAAACAATAAGGGGAACATCACGGAATGCAAGAAAAGTTAGATGTATGCTTTGGTAAAAGAAGGAATGAGTAATGGAAATGCATTTTTTTGTCGTTGTTGTTGAAAAAAAAAGAAAGTAATTTTGTCCTAACACTGAGGGGTTGGTTATCTAAAGAGGAACAATGCAGGACAAAATCTGAATGTAAAAAAAAAAAAAGTTGTAGAAGGTCTAGGAAAAGGAATCTTGGGAAAGGAATTTTAATGTCTGATTGAGCTGGCTAAGATTAAAATGAATTTATTTAAAATTGATTTTAATATCAAAATAACCTGGTGCAAAATTAAAATTTGCTTTTCTCTTTATTAAAAAGACCAAGTTTTCTTGGACTTTTGGTCTGCTTATGATAACAAGAAATTGTAAAGGGTTTTTCTTTGCCCTTAAAATAATTGCCTAAAAAACAAAATCCTATGTTTTATCAAAATAGTTTCCTGTGTTTCACAGTATCTTTATCATCAGTTCTTTGATTTCTTAAGAAAACTGAGACTTTTTAACATTAAAAGAGCTAGGTTTTCCTAAAAACTATGTAACCTTCTATATTTGCCTGTGAAGTCTTAATTGTCACTGGTTAAATAGGTAACTAAGTATTGTTTCACAGTGATCCTATTCAGCCAAGTGTTAAAAAAAGCAATCCAAATGGTCTATTTTTTCTTTTTTTTAATTAAGGTATCATTGATATACACTCTCATGAAGGTTTCACAAGAAAAACAATGTGGTTATTACATTCACCCTTATTATTGAGTCCCCCCATACCCCATTGCAGTCACTGCCCATCAGTGTAGTAAGATGCCACAGAGTCCCTATTTGTCTTCTCTGAGCTACACTGTCTTCCCCATGACCTCACAAACACCATGTGCACCAATCATGATACCCCACAATCCCCTTCTCTCTTCCTCTCCACCTACCCTCCCCCACCCCTCCCCTTTGGTAACCACTAGTCCCTTCTTGGAGTCTCTGAGTCTGCTGCTATTTTGTTCCTTCAGTTTTGCTTCATTGTTATACTCTACAAATGAGGGAAATCATTTGGTATTTGTCTTTCTCTGCCTGGCTTATTTCACTGAGCATAACACCCTGCAGCTCCATCTATGTTGTTGCAAATGGTAATATTTGTTCTCTTCTTATGGCTGAATAGTATTCCATTGTGTATATGTACCACCTCTTCTTTATCCATTCATCTACTGGTGGACACTTGGGTTGCTTCCATATATTGGCTATTGTAAATAGTGCTGCTATAAACATAGGGGTGCATATGTCCTTTTGAACCTGGGAAGTTGTATTCTTTGGGTAAATTCCTAGGAGTGGAATTCCTGGATCAATGGTATTTCTGTTTTTAGTTTTCTGAGGAAACTCCATGTTGCTTTCCACAATGGTTGAACTAGTTTACATTTCCACCAGCAGTGTATGAGGGTTCCCCTTTCTCCACATCCTCACAAGCATTTGTTGTTCCTAGTCTTTTGGATGTTGGCCATCCTAACTGGTGTGAGGTGATATCTCATTGTGGTTTTAATTTGCATTTCCCTGATAATTAGAGATGTGGAGCATCTTTTCATGTGTTTGTTGGCCATCTGAATTTCTTATTTGGAGAAGTGTCTGTTCATATCCTCCACCCATTTTTAATAGGGTTATTTGCTTTTTGGATGTTGAGGCATGTGAGTTATTTATATATTTTAGATGTTAACCCCTTGTCAGATATGTCATTTACAAATATATTCTCCCATATTGTAGGATGCCTTTTTGTTCTGTTTATGGTGTCCTTTGCTGTACAGAAGATTTTTAGCTTGATGTAGTCCCATTTGTTCATTTTTGCTTTTGTTTCCCTTGCCCAAGGAGATACATTCAGGAAAAAGTTGCTCATGTATATATTCAAGAGATTTTCACCTATGTTTACTTCTAAGAGTTTTATGGTTTCATGACTTACATTCAGGTCTTTGATCCATTTTGAGTTGACTTTTGGGTATGGGGTTAAACAATAATCCAGTTTCATTCTCTTGCATGTAGCTGTCCAGTTTTGCTAACACCAGTTGTTGAAGAGGCTGTCATTTCCCCATTGTATATCCATGGCTCTTTTATCAGATATTAATTGGCCATATATGCTTGGGTTTATATCTGGGCTCTCTAGTCTGTTACATTGGTCTATTGTTCTGTTCTTGTGCCAGTACCAAATTGTTTTGATTACTGTGGCATTGTAGTAGAGCTTGAAATTGGGGAGCATAATTCCCCCAGCCTTATTCTTCCTTCTGAGATTGCTATCACTATACAGGGTCTTTTGTGGTTCCACATGAAATTTGCTCTAGTTCGTTGAAGAATACAATTGGTATTTTCATGGGGATTGCATTGAATCTATAGATTGCTTTAGGCAGGATACCCATTTTAACAATATTAATTCTTCCTATCCATGAGCATGGGATGTGTTTCCATTTACTGGTATCTTCTTTAATTTCTCTCATGAGTATC